GCATCAAGGAAGGGGAAAAGACACAGAAGTAACAGAGTTCAATCAGATGTCTAAGTGGACGAGGGAAGAGTGAAAGTAAAATTTCTGTATGTTATCACGCTGGCTGGTGTGGCTCAGCGGATTGAGTGCCGGCCTGTGAACCAAAGGCTTGCTGGTTCAATTCCCACTCAGGGCACGTGCCTGGGTTGCTGACCAGGTTCCCAGTAGGGGGGGCACGCAAGAGGCAACCACACATTGATGTTTCTATTTCTCCCTCCCTTTCTTCCTCCCTTACCCTTTCTCTAAAAATAAATAAATAAAAATCTTTTTAAAAAAGTTGCTGTACATCAAAATTTGTGGTCGGTGTTGAGTTAAAAAGTCAAAATGAAACCTAGGCTCTTGACAACTGCCAAGCAAAAGCTTGGCTTAGTTCACAGGAAACACGAGACCTCAGAACTGGACCAAAAAGTTACAGGAAGAATGATGTCATTTCTTTCCAGGTTGTCAACTGCCTAAGAAAAAGTCGTTCCCAAAGAGTGACCCCTTGTGGACAGGAGGGTCATCAGCCATTGGAACTTGGAATTACCTCAAACATCTTACCCCTATGTCAGCTTGTTTTTTTGTAAGCGCCTTATGAAGTTTTGCCTAAACGGTGATTTTGTAGTGGTGTTGTTGTCTTTTAATATTATTAATGTTTCTTTTTTCAACATTCTTTATAAACGCTTCCCTTACATGACCCATTTTTGTGCCCATATAAACTTTCAGCATCACCAACTATTGCAACTGTTAGTAAGATGGCTGCTTTAACAAAATTGTGGCTTTGAACAATAAAAATTTACTTTTTACAGTGGAACCGTTAGGATAGTCTAAATTCTTGATAGAGAGAATGTTCACATTTCTTGTATTTATTGGTTCGATTTAGGTCTCTGACTATTATAAAAGAACCCCTACCCTAATAAAGGTTATAGAAGTAATTAGGAAAATAAATTGAGGTCAGAAGTGTACATTGCAGCCACCTTTAGAAGGTTAATTTTGCAGTGTCAGTTAAAATATAAAACGCACATATCTGTGATCCAGTGTATCCACTTGTAGGATTTATCTCCAAGATTTACTCATAAGTGAGCAGACATACATATGAAATTTTTACTCATGTTTACTTTAGCAATTATTTTAATAAGAGAAATACAGAAAACAACCAAAGAGAAACAACCTATTACATCCGATAGGAGTTCCAGAAGAGAGAAGAGCAAGAGACAATTTTTGAAAAACTAAAGGCTGAAATTTGTCCAGAATTAATTGTATGCAATCAATTTTCTATTATTTTCTTAATATGTTTCCATTAAAATTTTACCAGATAGTCTTGATAACTTTTTATGACAATGTATAAACTAAGTCACTGGCGAACAGTTGTTGTTTGTTGTGGTTTTTTTTTGAGGAAATGAGTTGTATGAAAATCTGTAAGCATCACTTTCTACTAATTTACTGAGGGCGTGATTGATCTGAGTAACTGAAGTAAGCCTTGTTACATTTGGTTTGGGTGGGGGTGCAGTAATGGGGCAAGACTTGGGTTCTAGCCTCCCCATTTCAGCGTCCACTTAGTCACTTAGTCAAGTCAGCTAACTCGTCTTTGACGGTCATCTCCCTCATTGCCAAGTGGGGATAACATCTATGCTGTCTGGCTCACAGGATTACTGTGAAGGTCAGTGAAATGCAGGAAATCTTATAAACGTATTAAAGGAGAAAAACTATGATAGATATTAATAGCTGTTTGTGGCAAAGATAATGCTGCGTGTTCATTAAATTAATTTTTTTTCTGAGATACACAGCTAAATTACATTTTCCAGCCTCCCCAGCAGTTCTGGTAAAAAATATGGTAAAGAAAAAACACCACTTTCAAGGGTTATATTCTTTTTTTTTTCATAAGTGAGATTTTATTGGTTGTTTTTAGGATAAGTACACAGACATTTCAATAAAGTCTAGAATGTATTGCGGGCTGAGGGCCGCGGCGTGCGAACCTTTGCAAATCTGGGCTGTCTGGCCGCTACCACTTCTCCCGGTGCCCAAACTGCTCGGACCCGCGATCCCAAGGGTTAGATTCTGTTCGATTCTTCCCTCTTCTCCTGTGTGCTGATTGGATATCAGTTTCCAGGATGACCTGGAAGCTGAATATTGGACATGGAAGAGCCTCTTTGAGCCTGGATTCCTGTGTGACTCTATGGAGAAAGTACCCCCCCGCCACCTCCTCAGTCTACATTAGACTACAATAGCTATAAAAATTGTTGTATTATGCTACTGAGATCTAAGTGTTATTTGTTACAGCAGCAAGCATAGCTTACTCAAAGACATTGCTAAAAAGGTGTTCAAGGAGTTAAGACAAGAGATAGAACTTGCAGAAATATCAAGAGCTTTGGGAGGATTTACCCATTAGTCACTACCGCATTGTGTCTGTTTTGGAGGCCCTTGTGTGGACACAGGAGGCTGTGCTGGAGTGTGGGTGGGTACAGCTGTGCGTGTCTGTTTTTCTCCTCTCCAGGATTAAATGGTTAAATCCAGCTTCGTGTATATAATTGTCCCTCCTTCTCTAGAATTAATGCCAGCAAGGTCTGATTTATAACATGTGCTTTTTAAACACTAGAGTGTCCTCAGGATGTCTTCAACATTTCAAAAGCTTCTGATTAGAAAATACTAGGTTTTAGGTAAGTCCACGCACCAGCTGTCATTGCTGTAAACCATGTCTAGCTGAAGTCAAAAGGAATGGATCTTTAGCTCCCCTTCCAAAACTAAGGAACGAAATCTCTGCATTTTACATGAGAGTGAAACAGAGCCATTGGAAAAGTACCTTATCATTAAATTTAATGTACTCTGTAATTTGTCATGTTGGTTGGCTCATAAAAGACAAGAGATAAATAAGTGTCGGCAAAGCTGTGGATGAAAGGGAACCCTGTGCACTGTTGGTGGAAACGTGGAGTGGTACAGTTACCATGAAAAACAGCGTGAAAGTCCCCCCCCCCCAACAAATTAAAAGCACAGCTACCATATGATCCAGCAATCCCACTTCTGGATATATAGCCAAAGGGAATGAAATCAGTATCTTGAGGAGATATCTGCACCCCCATGTTCACCACCGCATTATATACAATAGCCAAGACATGGAAACAACCTATGTGTCTGTCGGTGGATGAATGGATAAAATGTGGTCTATATATACACAATGGAATATTACTCAGCCATAAAAAGGACATCCCACCACAGGTGACAACATGGCTGAAACTGAAAGACATTATGCTAAGTGAAGCCAGCCAGAGAAAGATAAATACTGTGATCTCACTTATGTGTAGAATCCAAAGAAGGTGAACTCATAGAAGCAGAGAGGACAGTGGTTCCAGGGATTGGGGGTGGGGGAAATGGAGAGATGTTGGTTCAAAGTCTCATTCATTCTTCTGGAGCTCCTATCAGATGTACACTGGGTCTTAGCCTATCCTCTACTTCTTAAGTTCTCAAATATTTTCTTTGCTGCTTTCTGTTAATGTATTCAGATCTATTCTCCAGTTTGCTAATTTCATCTCCAGCTCTGTCAGATGAATTCTTTAATCTGTCCAATGACCTAATTTAAATTATATTCATTTGTAGATGTTCTAACAGGTTTTTCAGTCTGCCTGGTTGGTGGTGGGTTTCTTTTTTTTTCCATAGCAATTTGTCCTTAATACTTTAATCCTCCTTCTTTGTCTTTATTTTTAAAATTACCTTTCAAGGCGTCTATCATGCTGCTCAATTAATTGTCTCAAACCCTAGGCATTTAATTCTTTTTAAAAAATTCTACTGACTATCATTCAATGATTTTGTAATTATTTTATATGTTTTAAGTGCATATTTGGTGGGACCTTATTCACGGGAAACCTGTGCAACCTGGTTTCAACGTGGATTATTGTAGTGTTTTTGTGTTTGCTTCTGCTAGCTAGGTACTGGTATTACTGGCCCAAGTTTCAATTTTTATGCTTTTTACTTGTGGTTTCCTGAGTATAAAAATTCAAACCCACAGCCTATCTGTGGTGCTGGACTCACAAATTACATGTTTTCAGAGGAGACATGTTTCTGTACCTAGAGCCCGGCTTCCTTGTTTCTGCCTATGCATGGGTTTTCCTACACCCTTCTGTCCCTGGCAGCGTAGCCCTTGGAGGGCCCCAGGTCCAGCATAACCTCTATAACCCAGGCCGTCAGACAGCAGAGATACTGTCCCCACTCCCTGCCCCGGCAGCCCCTGAGATACTGCGCTGTCCTCCTCTGGCTGTGTCATCAGGCCCCGATTACTTTTGGGCTCCAGGGGATTTCATCCACATTTTCGTGAGAACAGCCTTGCATACAAAAAGACACTGGTTGTAGTTTCCTAGCTTTCCTAGGTATTTGAAGTGGGAGAAGGTGTGGATTTCAAGTTCATTCGTCCCACTGGCTGGCTAGAACTGGAAGGCCTCCGTCCTACAAGGCTATGTGTATTGCAGTATTATTCACGGGACCCAGACACAGAAACAACCTAAGTGTCCTTTGGTGGGTGATTGGATAAAGAGTATGGGGCACATATATACAACGGAATATTACTCAGCCATGACAAAAGATGTAATTACTGCCATTTGCAACAACAGGGATGGATCTTGAGAGCATCATGCTGAGTGCATTAGGTCAGACGGGAAAGGACAAGGACTGCATGATTTCACTCATGTGGGATAGAAAACTGAAAGCAACAAATAAACAAACAAAATAAACAAAACTCATAGGCAACAGTGTGGTGGTTACCAGAGGGAAAGTGAGGGGGAGAAAGAAGGGGGTGGGGGTGGTCCAATGCACGGTAATGGGAGGAGAATGGACTCTGGGGTGGCGGGCACACAATGCAATGTACAGATGACGGGTTATACAATTAAACCCGAAACTCGTATCATCTTATCAACCACTGTCACTCCAGCAAGCAATGGGAAGAAACACAGTCCAACGGAAACAGGTGTTTGAAGGCTGGAATTAGAGATGAAGCCTTTCTTTTAAAAATTGCCTTTTTATTATTGTTAATGCAGTACAATTCAGGAGAAATAAAGAGCCGACCTAAGTAAATACAGTTATGAACTGATTTTTTAAAAAGATAAAGTCAGTAGCACAGGTTTGGGGAGGGGTAAAGTAAATGTTTATTAAACCAAGCTTTTAAATTACACCCACCTATAGTCTGTAAACAAACACAGTACACATGTTAAGTAAAAGGCTCTTAGATTAAAATGGGTGGTAAAACTCCAGAACCCTTTGTACACTGGTGCCTCACCACTCCTTGGACCAACGCCACGGAGCCTTGTTATAGTTAAAGAGTTCAACTAAAAACCAGGAGTTTGGCTCAACTCCACCCGCTACGACAGATTTCAAGACAGGTAACTGTTCCACATCATACTAGACTGGGTTATAGAAAGGCAACAGTGTAGTGTTTACATTCACAGATTGGCTGAAAGAGCACAAATTGAGCTTCTCTTCTGGATGTCTCCCTCTCTATTACCATAATTAGATATGATAGACCACAGGTGGTTACAAAAATAGATAACTCATAGAGTAATAAATATCTACAGTTACCAGAGCACAAACTTATAAAATTTCCGATTTTCTCTAATGTGCAGAATATAAGTATGTTCAAGAGGTACAGTCAGCAGACTTCAGAGTGGTAAGAGCATTTGTAAAGAAAAAACACTCAAGTACAAACCCAGAGCAGGAAGCTGAGTGCAGATGAGAACATACAAAAGACAGAATTCCTCGCCTCTGATTATCTTAATAGACACCACAATTTAAAGCTTACAGTTCTTTAGGTATCTTAAAAGTAACTTTGTTACCTATGTACAAACTTTAAAAAGGCTTAACCATGAGACAAGCAAAAATTGATTAACTTAATAGTGGCACTAAAATCAATACAACTTGGAGCATTTTGTGTGCTTTCATATACTTCTGTGGATGGGCCTCTACAAGGCCCACGAAATATTTGGGACAGAGTTTTAAAAACTCCCACAAAAATCTATTTTACAATCATTTCAGATATAGGGGGAAAAAAGTCCCAAATGGAAGAATAAAAAAGGTCAAAATCTCACAAAGTGACTGAAAATCTATGCATAGGTAACTGACATTCAGATGTTCCCTTAATGGTTTATCAAGTGCTATGTGAGGTCACTGTAATGCTACCCTGAAGCCAATCTCATTTAAGAATATACGGTCATTCCCACTCTATTTCTAAATTAAGAGAACTTATTCCCCATAATGTGCGTTTCAGCGAGGTTGTTCTTGTTGGTGTCACCTTAAAGCTTCATCAAAGCTTCAGGCAGACCTGAAGTTGTAAAGCTGAGAACTAACACTACCACAGGTGCTTATTAACCCCAATTTCGTACAGGGAGTGCAGGGTACATTTAAGTTATCCTAAGGTCACCACAGGTGAGAACAGTGTCCCCTGGACACTTCCGCAAGCTTCCTTGCTAAACAAAATCTCTATAATCGAATGTATTTGGAACTGGCTAGGTTAATCAGGTCCCACTGACACCCTAACATACATTCTACACCTTCAGGATTCAGCTTTCCCCTAACTCATTTGCCCTTGCCAGCGAACACTGAGAACCACCCGCCGCTGGATCCCAGGACGCTAGGTCCTATGGAACGCGGCTCGAGAAACGCCATTCTAAAGCACATTCTCTAAAGCAGTGCTTCTAAAATCATAGTGAACATCAGAAACATGTGGAAGTTGCATTAAAGCACAGGTACCATATCCCACTCCAGAGGTCTGTGGCGGGACCTGGGAACCTGCATTGGATGGAGTGACAAACATACTTTGGGTCTAGACCAGCAATTTTCAACCGGTGGGCCACAAGAATTTTTAAAACATGAAATACCTGACTATATCCTTTTATTTTGGGGTCAAATCACCAAAAAATATATTTTTTGATATGCCGCAGAATTTTAGTAATTTGTTTATATGCCATGAGATGAAAAAGGTTGAAAATTGCTGGTCTAGGCGATGCCCCGCACAAATCTCAGCTGTGAAAAGCCCCCTTGTGGCCTCATGTGGGATATGGCATTTGCCACAACCAATTAGCTGGAGGTCAAATCAGCCCAGTGACATATGAGAGGCGCTGGGGCGCCTTGGTGGGGTGGGGGAGCACTAGACTTTAGACTCTTGGTTCTGCCCCCTCCTTACCAGGTGACCAGGCACAGTGACAGCAGCCTCAAAGAGGAATAACAGCGCCCCCTCTCAGAGGGTCTGTGAAACATAAAGGAAATGTCTGCACAAAAGTGCTAACACAAAGAACCATGCAAGTGTCATTAATCAGGAGAATGTGTCAGTCACAGCAGGAAAATCCCAGATGAGGTTTCTGGCTTCTACCACTGCTGAGGCTTTGGGAAAGCACAGTCTGGCAGCTAATGACGAGAAAAGAGGCTAAAAATGCAGCGAACTGCAGTGAGAGGAAGATACCTAGTGGACTGCCTAATTCAAAAATACCTGATTGTTAAAAAAAAAAAAAAAGTCAACTCACAATCAAAGTTGTTAATTATGCTGGCTTTGAGAGAGTGTTTAAAAGTTAGTCTGTTGATCTCTGAAAGCACTCGCTCTTCCATTCTACCACGTTATTAATGCTGGTTAAATTTTATTAACATCAAGAGAACGAGGGGAAAAAAAAATCTCTTTACTCGAGGACAAATGAATTAGATCTAGGAAATTTAGCTGAGATAGTCCCAATCTCATGAGCTACTACGGTGGGAAAGTTTCAAAGTAATTTTTAAAAAGGACTTTTAATTTTGGTTCATAAAAAACATCCACAGAATGAGAAAGGAACACACACTCACGCGTTCACGTATGTGCGTCTACTTCTTGCTCAGTATATCTTAGCCAATGATCTGCTTCTCAAAATTCAAAAATGAACCTGTAAAAATTCATACACATCCATGATGGGATTACAGTTAAGCAAACATCTTGTTGCCAAGTCCCAGTTTTCATTTGAACCCGAAAGACTGATCGGAAAGGCAGACTTCGCCCGACAGGCCGCATGGCCCACTTTATGTGTGCTCTGGGTGGCTCTGGAGACAGGACAGCATCTCTTGAACGGGTTTGCCTTCATAGCAGATCTGATACACTGCAGTAAACAATGGGAACCTAGGCAGGGGGGAATGTGAAAAGACAAGTTAAGCCATCTGGTTTAACGTCACACAACGAATTAGTTTTTCTGACATAATACGATTGCAGATTAGGGTGCCATTTGTGACCGCCTTCTACACCCCTTTACTCTTTGGTCTACAGAGGGCCTCCACACTATTGGCCGTAAGATCTCGGTATAATCTGCATCATCCTCTGCCTAACTGGAGTGCAGTCTCTACAAACAAGCCGGGTGGCAAGCCTTATGGGGTAATCTATGGTCATTCACATGAAGAGTTGTGGCTCAGGCTCTTGGTCAAATCTAGAATGAATCCAAGTTTCTGCCACTATTTTATTTTATTTATTTATTATTTTTTTAATCCTTACCCAAGGATGTTTTTTATTATTGATTTTAGAGAGGAAGGGAGAAAAGAGAGAGAGAGAACTATCGGTATGAGAGGGAAACATCGATCAGTTGTCTCTTGTTCACGCCCTGACCGGGAATCGAACCCACAACCTAAGGTATGTGCCTTGATGGGGAATCAGAAACACAACTGAACCCACAACCTTTTGGTGTATGGGATGACACTCCAACCGACTGAGCCACCTGGCCAGGGCTTCTGTCACTATTTTAAAAGGCTGGAGAATAAATTTTAAGTTGCAAGGAGGTATTGCTCTCTCTTCTCCAGAAAGGATGAAGACAAGGCAGCCCACACATCACCATAAATAATTCAGCCTGCAGTGCTCCTGCGAGAGTCAGCGTGGGGCCCGCAATTAGCAGAGCACAATCTCATGTCAGAAGCTGGATGTATTTTGCCTTTTCTTTTAAGATGTGAACACGTATAAATGAAAGTGTGAAATGGAGGAGGGTGTGAAGGTGTGGGTTAATAATCCACTGTAGGAAAACAAAGCATGATCCCAGGTACAGCTGGCTCAGCAAGTATTATGGCAGGTATCACTAAGGAAATGGAGTTCACTTAAATCCGACTTTTAAACACACACGCGTGCGCGTGCGCACCCCCAGCCCACAGTGAGCTTGACAGGATCAGGAGTCTTAAAGGCCATCCTGAAAATTATCTAGTCAGAATCTGATGACGACAGCTTAGGTCATGTGTCTTTATGACAGTCTGTCATTATGGGTTTTTTAAAGGTTCAGAATGTTTTGTTATCTTTTGGAGTCAGGGAGGCTTAATCAAATCTGACTCCACAGCCTACTAGCTCTGGGAAAGTTTCACAATCTCTCTGCCACACAGTGGGTGTGCAATAAATAACAGCTTATAAATGCAGCCACAGATGGCCACCAGGTCCTAGCTGGGTGTATTGAATTCAACTAGGTGCAAGAATGTGCAGTATTATAAATAGGGCCTCAGCCCTCAAGGACCTTGCAACCTTGTTACGAGCTACACTGGACCCCTCATACAATGAAGTCCTAATCCCTAGTGCCTAGAATGTGACTGTATTTGAAGATAAGGCCCTTTAGGAGGTAGTTAAAAGGGGTTCTTTAGGGTGGGCCCTAAACCAATATGGCTGGTGTCCTTATAATGACAACCCTGCCAACACCTTGACCTTAGACTTCCAGCCTCCAGAACTGTGAGAAATATATGTGCGAGCCACCCAGTCTGTGGTATTTTGTTACAGCAGCCCTAGCAAACTAAAACAATTACCTTATGCTCACACACACTCATAAAGACACATGTACAAGGAAATCTGGTAAAGCAAATTTTGTAATGGCAGACAACTTTAATATCAGGAGGAGATCGGTTCTCCCCTACAGCAGAATGTTCCACAGTCACTAAATCTCTAGGTGCAGACGTAAAATGATCTTCAAAATGTATTATGAAGTGACAAAAAGCTGGGGACACAGCGGAACATAGAGTCCAGTACCCACCACACCTGTGACAGGGTTGGCCGGGGAGGCACTGAAACCCGAGAACGCGGCCCGGGCTGGGGCGCAGCAAAGACTCACTCCTCACTGGGGGCCCTTTTTACCTGACTGACATTATTTTAACCGGAAGGATGTGCTCCCTCCTTTCATGTTGGAAGAATAAAAGTAAACTGCATGTGTAAGCAGTAGGTCCATAGCACGTGAGTAGCAATACTGTCTAAACCAGGAGCCATAGCCTGAGAACCAACTCTGGCCTGTGGCCTGTTTTTGTACCACCTGCAAGCTAAGAATGGTTTTTGCATTTCTGAAATTCTGTAGAAGAAAAGGACGAGGGGAGGGAGAGCAGCCTGGGGTGAGGTGTCGTGGGCTGCGCCTCGAGTGGGTGACGCCTGTGGGCCAAACGTGTGAGCGGACGTGTGAAGGTGAGAGCACGTGGGGATGCAAGGCAAGCACGTGGTCCCCGCGCACACACTGATCTTACTTGATCTGGCTTTGGCCCCAGCAGGGCCGAACCGAGATGAAAAGCTCCCGTCCTACAAAGCCCCTCCTTGGGGCTCCGTGCAGCGAGAAAAAGAAAAGAAAAAAGAATGTAGGACAGAGAACTGTATTTGGCCCACAAGAACTAAATATTTATTGTGTGGTTCTTTACAGGAAAAGTTTGCTAACTGCTGCTGTAAACAGTAAGTTCAAAGCAAGGGAAGTTATCTGTGGCAGGAGGGTGCAAAAGAAGGCTTCTCTGAGGACAGATCTGCCTTCGGGGTGGCGTGGGCCGAGATGCAAGTTAAAGAGGGTGGCGCGGCAGGCCAAACAGCAGCACAGGTGGATGAAGACAGGAGCCGGAGGTGTCCAGGGCAAAGGGAGTCTGTTTCAACTCAGGCGGGTGACGCAGGGGATAACGGGACCTGCTACTAGAAAGGTAAGTGGGTACAGGCACGCCTTCGAGAATTGCGGGTTCAGTTCCAGACCACTGCAATAAAGCAAGTAGCGCAACATAACAAGTGAAGACTTCTTTTTACTGGTGGAAGTTTTTGCCTTCCATTTATGAAAAAGGCACCATCCGTGAAGTGCGACAAAATGAGGTGAGCCTGTACTGGACTGAGAAGGACGGCCTCAGTGCCAACCCAACAACGACAGGCCACAGGAGGCCTCTTAACCCAGCGGAGAAGGGACCACGGCCATCGTCTGGTCCACCAGTCGGCTTTGTGGCTAAAGAGACCGGGGCACAGGACAGCTAAAAGTATGGCCTGCGTATGACCGCACGGCTAGTAAGACACAAGGGGGCCTTGAAGGCTGCCCTCCTGCTCCCTGCTCTTCCCATAGCAATGGAGGACGGAGAAGCAAAGGAAATAGAGGAGGGTCAGAGGAGTGAGGGCTGGGATGAAAAAAAAAAAAAAAAATCAAGGCAGGGGTGGTACATAGGGAGAAAGTTAGAGCACGGCTCTGCCGGGGCAGGTGCGGTGCAGGTGCGGTGCAGGTGCGGGGGAGAGGCGTCCCACAGGGCTCTACATTCCGGCCTGGAAGAAGCGGGGTGCCCCTCGGGAGCCCTCGTTAAGCACAGGTACAGCCTGTTCGATTTCTAATCAGAGGAAAGAAAATGGGACATAGCTGAGGAGGGGCGTCTGCTCAGAGCCCAGTTTCACCTGCTTGATGACACCGGCTTTTTAAAACATGCAGGTCCCGATGCCAGAAGGCCGGTTCCCGCCTGCATCCTCCTCAAGTGAAACGAGGAATACAGACCGCCAGCCGCCTTGTGAATTCATAAACTCCTATCAAACGCACCCCTTGGTAGCACGGAGATGCCACTTTGAAAGTGTGACTGCCAGATACTGACCATCGCCAATCACCCAGGTTTTTTTTTTTTTTAAGACTTTAAACAAATTCCTGATAAAGACTTAATGGTCGTTGAAATAGGCCAGCCACACACCAATGCATCACTGCTGTTAAATATGTGAGAAGACCGTGCATGTCAGAGGTGTTTTCCTTTTAGTCACGATTTCAAGGTAATTCCCCTCCTCTGGAGGCTTGTTTATGACTTTCATCTCTGCCTGGCTGGTTTTGAAAGCCATTTCAGAAAAATAAAATGCAAATTAAAGAAGGAAGATAAATGTCCTGTCCTCCCTCCTTTTCCACTCTCATTAGGGAATTTTATGGGTGATCCATTTGTACTGGTTGAAAAGGGGAGGGCAGGGTGAGGTAAGGAGGCCAGGCTGGGACCAGGAGACACTGGGGCCGACCTGAGCGGATGAAGGAGACGTGACCAGAGAGACGCTGCCCACAACCCAGCCCCCTACTCTCCCAGGCAACCAGGCCTCCCCTGCCCAGAGAGTACTGTAGAGAGGTAAGGGTACGCAGAATATGCTGCATAAGTCTTTCCTAGGTGGTATAACTGGCATCACGATTATGGAAGAAGGCCCAGCAAATCAGCAAGATGAAGGGCCGGGAGCAGCCTCAGAGAGGCCCGGGCAGCTTCTGTGGTGCTACGGGGCTTACTTCCTCGATCGGGGGGCGAATCAAGCCGACCCCCGGCCACCTTCAGCATGTGACCAGCCTGGAAGGGCAGTGGAGGCTGGATGCATGCGCGCATGCATCCCCAGGAGGACCGGCTGCGAAGGCTGCTCATCGAACCTTAACACAGGCCATTCCATTGCTAGTGGTGAAATTCTGGGGTGATGTGTCTTTCCTCCTGTTCTGAACTGTTCGGCAGTTCATCAACAAGACTTTTTATAAAAACAACGAAGCATTTTTTTTTTTTTAATTTAAAACTTGAAACATGTAGCTCTTAACCAAACACACCAGAATCTTAACTGAGTCCTTCTGCCCGAAGTTGAGCTGGTTTTGTGTTTTGCATGAACACCCGTTTTCAAGGCAGGGAGATGTTTCCTACCACAGATGTTCCCGTCACACAAAGGACGGCACTGACGTCACAAAGCTGTGGCACACTAATCACATAACTGTGCTCGTGTACACTGACTGGGCTGGTGGTCACGAGACGCAGGATGGTAACTGCTTCTCCGGTCTCAGGGGAAGCCAGGTGACTTACTTGTCCAGCAGCCCCTTCTGTCTGAGGATGCGGTACACTTCAGCAGAGGTCTGAGGCCCCTGGAGCTTCTGCCCATTCAGCATCTCCTTCTCCAACTCTTCAATGGTCTTCAAAACAAAGAATGAAAAGAAATCTATGGTAAAGACTAGAGAATCAGTTATTTCAAGAGGGGAGTGGGGAAGGGGAGCTGCATCCCTCTGCTACAAGCCCAAGAAAGGTGAAGTCATACAAGATAAAGGACGTAAGACTCAAGTTCCTTTACGTGCAAGCAGACAGGTAAATGGGACAAACTGGCGAACAACCAATTCTGGCCTCGATCTCCGCTGGACTGCGGCTCAGCCCAGCCCTGGGTCTCAAGGAGGAGGGAAGGGTGCGGGGAGGGCAGGCCAGGGCTACCTTTCCGGTCTTGGCAAAGGCCTCGGCCACCCTGCGGTTCCGGCCCCCGTAGCAGGTGGTGATCAGGTCGGCCACGCCGCAGCTCTCCAGGAAGGTAGCAGTGGACACCTGGCCCTTGCAGAAGATCCTGGCAAAGGCGATCATTTCCATGAGGCCCAGGCGGATGACGGCGGCTTTGGTGTTGTCTCCACAGCGGAGGCCGTCACAGAACCCGGCTCCCACCGCCACGATGTTCTGTGAAGTAGACAAGGAAGCCAGGACATCGTCATACGCGCACTGCGGGTGGGATGTGGGTCAGGTCGGGGGAGAGGCTGGGAGGGGGACCCCTGGCTCCTGCACAGCCCTCCATTCTGCTCTTGGACCGTGAGTGAGAGAGGTAACAGAGGGGACCGTGTGCAGGACAGGAGCCCAGATCTGGGGTCAGTGGGAGACAGCAGTTGACGGGCATGAGCCGGAAAATGAGAACGCTGAGAGTGGTCTCTGGTTAAATGCTGTCTGCATAAGCTGCTTTACCTTTCGGGTTTGTTTTCAAATCAAATATCTTATTTAAATATAACATTCACACAGAACAGTACGTAAGTCTTAAGTGTACCCCCCGCAGGGAGCTGCAGAGGTCCTCCTCAAGGAGTTGACAACCTAGTTGGGAAAAGAGACACAACAAAGCGCATCACAAGACACGAGGACGGAAGGGTGCCGAGAAGTGGTGGGAGCCACAAGCTTCACTTCCAGCAGGGAAGGCTGCGCAGAGCAGGTGGCATCTGATTAAAGCCTCACGTCAAATGTGAAACCAGACAAGCACATCTGACGAGCCCTACCTGCATGGTAGCATGGGAGCCCTCACCTGGGACATCAGGTAAGCCCCCAGGCCCCGCCCCTTTGCCAAGAACGCATGATGCCAGGAAAAATGCAAGTATTTTGCCTCTGTCTCACCACACTAGCACTTTCCTGTTATATCTGGTGACTATATATGGATTTGTGCCTTGAGAATATTGAAACGTGAAGCCAGTTGGTAACAAATGGGAAATCAGTGAAAATAAGATAAATGTGGTATTTTTTTTCCCTCCAAAGGGAAGTCTTACTAATGAAAGAGAGCATTTCTTAAAACATGAGGCCTATTAAAATCAGAGGGATAAGGTGAAAAATGTCTTCTCTGGTCGATGTGCAGTTTTTGATAAAATATATCCAACACAGCGTTGACACAGCCAGGCTCACCCAAGAAAGAGACCTGGCCACCTCGATACAGCTATGGCTCACCGAGAGACCGAAGCCACACAGCCACTTCATGTGGAAACAACCTGAAGGGCCCTCCTGAAGCTTCGCCTCCTTCCAACAGACAGAACCCGCCCTCCCTGTGGTCACAGGGAGCCAGTGGGTCCAAATGGAAAGGGCCCAAATGTACCTTCTCCATCTCAGTAATAATACTAGAGCTTACTCTGGCTACTGGTAGTCCTTTCATTGCCATCAACACAGAAAGGAAAAAATGCTGTAAAAATAATCAGAAAGCTGACACGGATGCGTGGAGGTTTCAGACAAATTCACTCTCTTTGTGTTCCAGTCTCTCAGTGCGGTTGTGAGCTACCGCAGACCAACGAAGCAGCTTCCAAGGGGATCGCTTCCTCCCTGCAAAGGCCAGACCCTGTTCAGACCGTGGTTCCCACAGCTGCAGGCAGAGCTGACAAGGACTCAAGTCTTCTGCACTAACGGCCTGATCAGGGCGCATGTTTTCAGGCTAACTTCTGTCTGTGCCTGCAAGAGCCTCTCAACCCCTTCCCGCCACGCGGGGGATGCACCCTGCGGGTTTCATCAGCTCCCTGACAGCGATCATCTGTCCCCAGCTACCTGCTGCGGGTGCCCAGTGATGAGGAAGTGGCCAATGGCCAGGTGCACCGGGTGTCTGGCAGCATCCTGTGAAGGATGGGGGAGGGGCAGTGTGAAAGGAGCCGGCAGAGATGCCGAGGGGCGAGGAGGGACCTGGGTCTGCAGCTCTGCTCCAGAGGGGAGAGTGGCCCAGTCCGTGGCAACACCTTTCACATGGGGTGCTGGGCAGAGATTATGGATTGGGTGTTTTATTGATGTTACCAAGGCAACGTGATGAGGCCTAGGGTCCAAATGCTTAGATTGCTGAAATTGTTCTCTGATGCCTCCTGGACCGTGTCCCTGTGTCCCCCTTCATCACACATGATACCTCCTGGAGGTTACCTGACAAACCAACCCCAGTAAATGTCTACGGACTGAACAGGAGATAAGAGAGGGGAGAGGGGTTACATATGAAGTGACTACGTGAGCCACACCAGGCCCAACGCACACGCTGTCTCACTGGAGTTCTGCCAAGTGTGTACCTCTCCTCCCGGCTGGCTCCGAAAGGTTCAGCGGCTTGCTGAGAGCAGCCTGCTGGTGAGGGACGCAGCTGGGACATGCACCCAGTGCCTGGTTCCACAGGCCCACTCTCCCCTGTGCCTGGCTGCTTCCACGCTGTGGCACATCTGGCCTGGCCACCCACTCCTTCCTGGGTCGGAGACCTTCCTGAACCCTCCGCAACTGGATGTCAAAGGGCAGTGCCTATCTGGCCTTCATGGAGGCTTCGAAAGTAATAAGGATAGGCCCAGGAGGAGAAAAGATTTATGGGGGAAAATAATAAAAATGACATCAAAAGTTAACCTTCTTGAACTGTTCTACGTTCTTCATACAATATTAATGCATTTAATCTTCACAACATTCCTACAAGGCAGGCCCTTTTCTGTGCACAGTGGGAAGTGAGGAAACTCAAGCACACAGGACCGGTAGCCCCAGGTCCCACAGTCAGGCCCTGCAGAGCTGGATTTCCAAGCCAGGACCTGGCTCCTGAGTCCTCTCTGAGGAGTGGGCCAAACCCCACTGCTCCAGGGCCTGAGAGTGAAAGGCACGGGGGGCTACCTCAGAGTCAACAAAAGAACTTTCTAATAGGAAGAGCTGACTCTACCCAACTGAAAAGCCTTAGAGGCAAAGGAGCGAGCTGTCCGTCACTGGAAGCATCCAAGCAGGAGCTGTAAGGATGAATCCTGAGCTCCAAAGCAGTGCTTCTGAGCTTTCATGTCACTGCATTCAGAGAAGAGGCGGGTGAAGGTGCCCATGCCTGGGGGCTCCGGCCACCCTCTCGGCCCCTTCACTTCAGGGCACACAGACTGGGACCACCTCACAGTCCCCACTAGACATCTAACCTCCCCGCGTGGAGGAGCGGGGGAACAGGGGCTACTGCAGGTGAGCTCCTCCCATCTGAGGGGAATCTGGGCCCCAACCCAGTTTAATCATCTTATGATGGATCTTGAAATCCTCGCTCTCTCCCTCACCACTTATCACTGTCAAAAGAAAAATAAACACACTGAGCCAGTCAGATTGTGTTTGAATAGCATTCGAGCAGATGTCCTCAGAGATCGCTCAGCTGTGAAAGTTATCATTATCCACCATGCATTTAAATCTGCTTGAAACTGTTCTGGAGCTAAAAATACCATGATTTTCAGAAGACAGACGTGCTTCAGCCCTGCTCCATTTCCTGAGTGATGGCAATACTTGAGGTGTTCGCCCACTCCAAAGCGCCACCTTTGCAATTCTGAATTGGGGTGGGTGGGGCGGGACTCGGTTCCTTCCGCTCCCATCCTCCCACAGAAAGAAAACGAAACGGAAGCAGCCCAGGCTACCTGCAGGCTATGCCAACAGTCTCACCACCAGGAAGAAAGGCTTCACTGAAGCCCGGTTGGCATTCACCGTTCTCTGTAAGTCCACAAGCCGGCCGACTCTTCCCAGCTCCCAGTGCACTCGACCCAGGATGAGGCTCCGTCTGCAGAGCGTGGGCTTACTGCAAGGCAATGCACCGCGTGCGGTTCGCAGGCTGGGCCCTGTAGGGGGCGGCCTGGCTGAGTGGTCCAACTGGGCTGAGGTCCCGACTGCATTTTGTGCACCAGGCCAGGCACCTGAAAGAAGCTGCCTTCGCCAGGGGAGCACCATCCAGCACAAGTTTCCGCAATGATGTAAATATTTTATATCTGCCCCTTCAGTAAAGGGTCCCGTAGTCACTGGCTACTGACATACACATGGCTACTGAGCCTTTGAAATGGGGCTATTGTGACTCAGGAAGTGAATTAAAATTTTTTTTAAAGTTTTACTTAATTTGAATGGAAATGCAAATGGCCCTATACGGCTAATAGGTTCTGGCAGGGGCCCTGGCTTGAGACTAGGCACAGGGCTGCCATCACTGCAGGGTTTAGCGAGGCCAAACCCTGGAGGGAACCTATATACCCAGCAATCCGGAGGGGCCGCCCTCACTGTAGGCAGCCCTGCAAAGGCACATCATGTGCCTGGGGCACAGGCTATGGGTTGATCCCCCAACCTGCTCCCCTTTTTCCAGAGTAAAGGAGTCCCTGATTTTCATGCAAGTACAGGGCTACCCAGGGGTGGAAAAAACTATTTGCCAACCTCTCTCACAGCGCGGAATGGTCACACAATCAAGCGCTGCCCATCGAGTTGAAAGCGAAGTATAACATTGCGACTTCCCAGAACTGGCCTTAAAAGACAGCTGTCACGTGGCCTTTGTCCTGTTTCCTTTTATTTTTAACCCTGCTGCCTGGAAGGCAGATGAGATGGTTGGAGCTCTGGTGACCATCTAAGAAATGAGGATGATGAAGGGGTTTAGAACAGGCTTCCCAAGATGCGCCACTTTAGGATGGGAATGATTTTGAGCTGAAGGCAATCAAGAGAAAGTTTTTACATCTCTCTTAAAGAAGTTAAATTGAGGTTTAAGTTTAATAAGAGTTATCACCAGAAGTAAGTTTTTATGATCCCTCTACACAGCAGGGCAAACACAGCAAGGGCTTGTGAGCTGGAGTCCTAAGAATTCTGTGCAATGGAGTTGTTATATGGGTTCAGGATTTTTACGTAAGAAATAAACTTTTACCTGTTCAGCCACTATTACTTTGGGTCTCTGTTAAAGAGACTTAATCCTGATAAAGCAGCTATTAAAATGATAACATAGGTTGAGCTATATACTTATGAGTTTTGTACTATTCTGCATGAAGCACCTCTTAAAATTTACATTAAAACAAAAACACATCCCCAGTGAAAGAAGCCAGACACAGAAGTGTATATCCTGAGAAACTTCATTGTAACATTTCTGGAGAATGCAAGGTTTAGTGCAGAAAGCGGCTCAATGGCTGCCTGGCTGGGGCAGGGAGGGGGTTCCGAACTGCAAAGGGACATGCGGAATTGCCTGGAGGTGACGCAAACGCCCTGTACTGTGGTGGTGATTTTCAGAGCATAGCTACGCAACTGCGGAAACTCATTGTGTTGCATACTTTAAACAGGTGCAATCTAATGTACATTAATTATGCTTAAATAAAGTTGATACTTAAACAATATTCTGTTACTGATTCAGAGATTAACACAGGGAGGAGATGCAGGACATCCTGAAGGCAGGGAGATGCACTGGTACCAAATGATTTTGTGTAATTCCTTTGAATTTTCTTTATTTTTACCCTTATAAGGAATGTCCTATATTTTTCCCAGGCACACGCCTTCATGTTTTTGAGCACAAAAAAAGAAGAGTGTACATTTTTTAAATTTGCCAGTATGGAGAAGCTTACTAAAGGTCGTCAATGCGAAAGGAAGTAAAATATGTCAAACTCTTTGAACAGTAAGATCCAGTCTTTGTTTTAGAAAGGGGTCATGCCCACACTTGCTAATGGATTAGAAGGGCATACAGCCATCACTGACACTGGGAGGTAAGGGTTCTCGGTGACTCTCACTTTCTCCTTGGTGCTTTCTACCTTTCTGCTGTGTATAATGTGCATGACTTTTATAATTAGGAAAACACAACAATAAGCCCTGGCTGGTGTAGTTCAGTGGACTGAGTGCCAGCCGGAGAACCAAAGGGTTGCTGGTTCAACTCCCAGTGAAGGGCACAAGCCTGGGTTACAGGCCAGGTCCCCAGCAGGGGGCGCACGAAGTGCAACCACACATTGATGTTTCTCTCCCTCTCTTTTCCCTCTCTAAAAATAAAATCTTTTTTAAAAAGTTATTTAAAAATCCCCACCACAGTTAATTATGTAATAAAACAAACACACGCCCATTTGTCCTTGCTTTGGCAGGCTCTGACAAGGGGGGGATTCGCTTCATTCAGCTGCCCAGGCACAACCCAGATAATTCCGGCTGGACACGGTGACCCAGGAACACCGGACCAAGGTTCTTAAAACCTGCACGGATACCAGGGCTGTGCCAATATTTGCTACATCTGAGTCATTTACTCTTTTTGGATCTCTGTCTCCTTATCTGAATGACAGCGTGGTTAGACTCAATTACTGCCAAAATGCCTGTTGCATGGTTTTCAAAAATCCCAGCTCTGATGCAAACTGACAGGTAGCTGATCCTGCTTCAGAGGATGGCCCAGGAGAAGGGTGGTAGAGGGTTCTCAACTCCCCTCTACCCCCACCCTTAGTGAGCCACTCTGGAGTGGTAGCAGGTACCAACCTTCTCACGGGCTTCCTGCCAAGGAAAACGAGAAGCCATCCTAAGCTCAGACACAGGGCTGGCACGCATCCCATCAGCGGAGCCTTCCCAGACCTGTCCCTCCAGCACCTTTTCCCCCAGCACCCTTCGTTCTGGGTAGGATCGCACAGCTTCCCCATCTGCCCCCAAAATAGCCAGCCACTTAAAAACAGCTTTGGAGCGACACAGACCGGTGCTGAGCAATTAGGCATCCAGGATGTCCCTGCTGTCGAGTGGTCATTAAACTAATGAAGGCCTATTAAAAACACATAAAAATCCCAACCAACAAAAATAAACAAAGCAGCCAAAGCCAGCTACAACAGGACCTGCCTATAATGTGAGGAACGCCCACACACGCATTTAGAAATGTGGACACGTGCTGCCTGGGAGCCCGGGTCTTTGATTGGCTTTAATTGTTAAAATTCTCATGGTATAAGGACATGTGACCACACATATGCACACAATATTAATTCTAGAAAGTGGTTTTAAATTCTGATGCGAAAACAGGACGTGCAATTTAGAGAAGGGGTAGGAAGACGTTCTTTTAACCTTTGCAATTCCTGCCCAGGCGAGGTACATGCCAGATCACCTAACATCTTCGCTAGGTGCTCAAATTCCTGAAAAGCAGCTGTTGCTACAAAAGAAATGACTCAGCAACCCAGCTCCCAGCTGGTTATTTCCCAGGGTCAGGATACTGAGAGGGACCTTGGAAGGATCCCAAGGGTGGACACTTCCTTTTATTCTACCCTCCCAAGCCCCTGGCCAATAGGAGCTACTTCTTTAATCTGATCTTTCCCCTGAGATAAAACCATTCTTGGAAAACACCTCCGCAAGCAGCAGACTTTTTTCTTTTAACAGGAGCAACCAACTGAACCATTAAACCAAGAGAGTAGCACAATTCAGAGAAAACAATTCCTTTTCCTACTCAAGAGAACATGTGAGAAGAAAGATATGAATTAATAAGAAGACTTTGCTCCCAGGTAAAACTCTACAATCAGAGTGTTCTCGCTGCTTCCCCAATATTAATGCTGCCAACTGTCCAAAGGACAGAATCACCACAATTGTCCCGGATTTATAAGTAAAAGCAAATCAGAAGTGAGAGAGGAACTCGAACCGCCCAGGAAAGGCTAGGGCAAAGCAGGAAGTGAAGAACAAGGCTCTCAATTCACTATCCTTTGCCGAAGCAAGTGCAGAGAACACAGGACCCATTCTTCAGGATGAGACCCAGAGTGCTCGCGGTGGCCGTGCATGGAGAACCCCTCTCCTGGAGCAGGAATAAAAGGCGGACTTTACCTTAAGAGCACCACAAAGTTCAACAGTGTCTGCGTCGTCAACCACTGTGATTCGAAAATTTGGAGTCTGCAGAAGCTCTTTGAAGAGGAGGCCGTTCTCTATTACTTTGCTGCCTGTTGAAAGGTCAGAAAAACGGAAATTCATAACAGTGTCTAATCTTAATTTCCACACCTAACACAGTTTAAAATAAGTTTTTTCTTATTATAAAAGTAGCATATGGTCATTAAAGAAAATTGAGAAAATTCATAAGAGGAGAAAAGGAGGATAAAAATATTCCAGGATTTCACCACAGATGATCACTAATAATCTGGCAGACATCTTTAACTTACTGAAATATGAATATACATAGTTTTTCTAAAAGTGGAAGCATAATGTATATGTGATTTCATAATCTTCTTTCTTCCTTTTTATGGCATGACTAATTTCCAACGACAGCATATTTTTCCTACATCATTTCAAATGGCTGCTTTGTATTTTGCTATGTCTATGTATTATATTTAAGTTTCTAGTGTTTGAAATCTAAAATTGCTGCAAATTTTTGCTACCATAAACACTGACAACCTCAATTTCTTTGTTTACATGTGTAACAGATTATTGTTCAAAATCATTCACCCTGCCCTGACTGGTGTAGCTCACTGAGTTGGGCATCTTCCTGCAGGTGAAAAGGTCGCCAGTTTGATTCCCGGTCAGGGCACGTGCCTGGGTTGCGATCTGGCTGAGGGCGTACAAGAGGCAACTGATCAATGTTTCTCTCTTTCCCTCTAAAAATAAATAAATAACATCTTAAAATAAAATCATTCACCCTGTTTCATTGAGAGGAGAGCGCATCCCTTTCGGATGTTAAGCCTGACTGCGTTATATACTTAGACTCACAACCAGCGGGCATTTTTCCCACCGGCCACCTTTGGGCTCAGCCATGTGTTTCGCTTTGGTCAACAGGACATTAACAGACACAAAGTAGCAGAAGCTTGAGGTCCGCTGTGCTGCGGGGCTGGCCCCCCTGTACCTCTGCCTTCCCTGTGAGAAGAAGATGCCCCAGCTAGCCCACTGCGCCCAGCAGGAAGGTGACAGACACATGGAGCAGAGCCACCCCCACTGTCCCAGCCAGGATCTGCGGACCCCCAGTGGCCCCACGGATGTGTTAGCTAGGCTTAGTTAGTATGCCACCGAGATTCTGTGACTGTTGGTACTTTGCATCACTGTGTGGCAATAGAGAACTGTTACAATGCTGACAAATATTTCCTACTGATTAAACTGTGGAAGGCAGAAATGCCTTCGGGGTCCTTTTCTCCACTACTGTCAGGCTGCCACCACGGGGACAGTTCCTACAATGAGATGGGTGCTCAGCAGTTTTTGCACTTTCTTTCTGTTTGGGGATTTGGGGTTAAAACCAACAACAAACAGAAATCAAATCGTACACATAAATCCAGATGTGAAATGCGCTCTGGTTGTGGGGGGACCAGCGTGGGGCTCAGCTCTGGGAGGGCTCTGGAAATCAGGATGACTTGGGGGTCCTGGCCCCCAAGTCAGCGTCCCCACACAGGCGGCAGGCGGCTCGCTGAGGCCCACGCTGCTCGGGCTCCGCCTGCCTCGAGGCTCCCAGGCTTGTTCCCAAGCTGGTCTGCACATTACGGTCACCTGGGGATCTCTGAAGACACCAAACCCCAGGTCACATCCCAGGCCAATTAAATCGGCCTCGGGGGTAGAGCAGGCCTCAGTAGTTTTTGAAGTTCCCCCGGCTATTTCAGTGGGCAGACAAGTTTGCAAACCTCAGACTTCCTTTAGCCTCAGCTTCCTCATGAGTCAAACACTACAGCACTCTTAGGCTCTTAGGGCCATTGTGAGGTTACATAAGAATCAGGTGTCAAAACAGGCTATTGGTCACAGTCAGTACTCAGGGTCCCAAGGAAGGATGATGGGCTGGGTGACACTTCCCATGCTTGTGACTATAATGTCCCCATTTACAGGCAGGAAGCTGAGAGAGCCTTACCCACCTGCCCACAGTCACACAGCTGCTAGGAGGCAGAGCTCTCTCTGTGCTACACTGCCTCTCCGGGGGGTTGCAAGAGGGGAGAGAAGATAAATAAGCAAAAACCAAACAAACATGACAGAAGAGCTCTATTCTTCCAATGCAGAAAGAAAGGTGATTGTCACCATTAAAGTTATACCCCCAAGTAATATAATGTCAGAACAATCCAGGGGAGAGGGAAGAGAGGGGGGGGGCACAGATGAACCCAGAACTGCCAGAGGCCACTCATTACTAAAGTTGGGCATGGGGTACATTGGGGTTAGGATTCTGTTGTGCCTACTCTGATTTGTTTTCAAGGAAATTTTCCATTATAAAGAGTTTAAAATATCTACACCTGATACCTGGAAACATTTTCTATTCTACAAGCATAGTTCTTACTTATTATTTATCTACGTTGATCTTTTTCCAAATATTATCACTGTGTCAGTTTGAGCAAATGGTTCTCTTCCTTTTTTAAAGAGTCGCCAGGCCACCTGGGTGATTCAGTGCAACACCATTTTGTCACCTGGGCTGCGCAAGCTAGCCCCCCACCCTCCACATCATGACATCATCGCTGTCTGTCTCGTCTGTCTCTGACCCTGGGCCACTGCTCAGTGCCTCCAACAGCAAGGATGCTTTATGAGCATCGCAGACAAGCCCCTCACCCCAGGGCCCTGATTCCAGCTGTCTGCGGCTGCGGGCCGTCTGAAAAACACGCAGCGGGGCGAGCGCTCCGAGACAGAGTGGGGTCTGTCGGTTCCTCGGTGGCTGCCAATTACTCAGTGTCCACCAGAGAGGTGAGCTTGATTTACAACAATGAACACTTTTCCCCAAATGTACTTCAAAAAAATTATTTTAAGTCCTGGATAAGAAAACACTAACCATATTATTACCAGTCATAAGCAGTAATGTGGCAAGCAGGGACCAGGCCACCTGGTACAGAACAGGTAATGCCCAGTAGCCATGCGGATGGGCTGTACCAAACTGAGTATGAACCAAAAGACTGGAAAATCCCCTTCTCTTTCATGCCAGGTTTGAGAGAGAACCAACCTCTTATTTTAACAAGACTCCTTCGAAATCCCCATTTCGGCCTGTGATTCCATATTTGTCTCTGTGCTTAGAAGTGCCACAAAGAGCTTATGCATCCTCGACACTTAGTGCCATGCCTGACACATAATAGGCTTTGAAAAATATTTGTGGGACAACTGAGTAGTCTTGGATTCTGTGAGGTCTGTCCCAAGAATGAAGGGAACTCTCACCACAAGAGGGCACTGTGATTCACCATGCCAATTAGTATTTACACAAGATACTAAAAACGATGCCATTTTTTTTCTTTTTCTTCTGTGGAAGACTCAAGTGAGCTAAAATTCCTGAATCTACCATAATTAAAAATAACTTGGTTGCTAATGGCATCAAGGAAGGCCATCTGAATAAGCACAGTGCAATTATCAAATACAGAAAATATAATGTTGATACAATTATCTACCATACAACCGTATTCTAATCTTCACAGTGACGGCAGTGTTGTCCTTCACTCCTTGGATCTTCCTTAGCCTGTGACACTCCATCAAGCCTTTCATTGTCATTTATGACAACGGCATTTTAAGAGTGTGGGCCAGGTGTATAGTAACATTCCCCTTACTTTGGGCCTTCTGATATTTTCTCATGATTAAATTCAGGTTATGTAAGACAATTTAGAAAATATCATCTTTGCGTTCTATGTTAATTTCAATTTTTTTTCTTAATTTAATTCAGATCACTCTTGGTAACCCTGGCCTAACCCACAGCAAAGGCAGTGCAAGCACCGGGTGAACAGCAGCCAGAGGGAGACAGGCGTGACTTCCGGGCTTTCGTGTGTCTCTGCAAACCAGCAGAACCTAGTGCACCTCACTGGGAACTCCTACAACAAACACGGCTTAGAGGCAGGTAAAAAGCTTCGCCAAAATCGACATGCAGACACAAAGCTTTCAGTCAAGAATTGAAGAGGAAGTCTCTGCCTTATGGAATGATTGGGGTAACCAGTCAATCCCAACCAACTAATGGCAAAACCGATTGCTGATTGAGTACCGGCAAATATGACTGAGTAGAAACAACCAGTTAACAAATTTTTTTGAGAAACAATTACATGATAATTTCACAGATTTTTATTAAAATCACAGATGGATAAAAGAATTCACTGTAGAAAAAATAGAACCTATAAATACAGTAGTATATATACATATATAAAATTTTTTCTGAAAGGATATGTAGAAACTGCCAACAGTGACTTCCTTGAGGAAGAGGGAGTAGGTGGGAAATTACAATTTTAATTCTAATTTTATTCCTTCTCATATTGTTTGAATTTCTTTACCTGTGGTTATATTGCTTTTGAAAATATCAACCTGGGAAATGGCTTTGTAGACCACTTTTTTCCTTCTTTATATTACTTGTGACACCTCTCCTCTCCAAAAATACTGTCTCTGAAAAAAGGAGTTTTAAGTGCCCAAGTATATGGGATTGTTGATGGAATACTGTGCAGCTATGAAGATGTATGCTGGACTTTGAACGTTGTTTGTTACATGTTAATAAAGCAATTATAAAACAACACATAACTAAACTATGGGCATAAATTGTCTGGAAAAATAGAAAAAAATAATGAAAATGAAATGATAAAAGTGGTTTTCTTTTGATTCTGTTTTCCACAATAATGACATGATATCTCTGTAAATTAAAAATAAAGGGAAGCCCGAGGCAGGTGGCTCAGCTCGTTGGAGCATGATCCCACATACATAAGGCTGAGGGTTCAGTCCTTGGTCAGGGCGTGTATGGGAAGCAACCAATCAATGTTTCTCTCTCTCTTCCCCGCCCCCCGCCCTTTTCCTCTTCCTCTAAAATCAATAAACATATCCTTGGGTGAGGATTTTAAATAACTAAATAAGTAAATAAATACATAGAAAACATGCAAAAAGAAAAAGTGAAAATGCCCGAACTTGCAGGCATGTGTGAGAATCAGGAGATACATGTGCTCCATGCCTCCCACCTCAGTCAGGAGAGCCTGGTCTCTCTCGGAGCTTCCTTTCCCATAGCTGCCGAGAACAAATGGCTCCCATTGCTCAGGTGTTTGACAAGGGTGGAGCTAAGTCCTGGAGTGATAGAAAAATCTAAATAAACTCTTGCAAAACAACTGCAAATACAAGAATATTACTCTTCTACGAGTCCTTTAATACGGTACACAATCAGTTGAAAATTCCAAAGCCCTTTTTAAAAGAAACAAAGTTTTTTGTAACACTAATGTTGTGTAAGACTAGAAAGAACTTTCTATTTCAGGGAACAGGAGACCCAAGTTCATGCCTGGGTTCAGTATTAGCTGTGTGATCTTGGGGCAGGTAACTTACTCCCGAAGCCTCAGCTTACGTGCCTGAAAATTGGGATCATTCCTGCCAGTTCTCAGATCTCATTGGTATCCAGGGAGGCTCCAGACACTGGCATTTATGAGGAAAGAGAAGCCGGGTGTCGAAGGCCGGGGGGCCCCCACCATGGCTGTAACTGCCTGCTCCTTGGTACAAGCAACCTTCCATTTTTTTGTGTTTAACCTCAATCATTTGTTAGTGGTGCATGACGAGTCACAATGGTCTCCTTGTCTTTACTTTCAGTCTGGAGATTGTTGAAGACACTTTGGGCCCATGAAATAGCCTCCTTACATTAAAGTCCCCACCCCATTAAAGGTCCACCTCAGGAAAGTTAAGGGGGCAGGGAAGAGTCCACCACAGGAAATACCAGAAATGGAAAATGTACGTTACTGAGCCATAAAAAAGAAGGGAACCCTACCCTTTGCGACAGCATGGATGGACGTGCAGCGCATCATGCTAAGGGAAATAAGCCAGTCAGAGAAAAGACAAGCACCATGTGATTTCAGTCATATGTGGACTCTAATGAACAAAATGAAATAATAGGCAAAACAGAGACAGACTCAAGAGAGCGCGCAAGGTGACAGCTGTTCGGGGGTGAGGAAGGCTGCAGGGGAGGGTTGGAGGGATTTAGCAAAAAATATTTTTTAAAAAGTGAAAAACTCATGGACAGGGCCAACAGTATAGCAGTTGCTGGGGGATGGGGTGGTGGAGGGAGGTGGAGGAGGGTATAGGGGGATAAATGATGTGCGGTGGGACTGTGCACCTGAAACCTGTATAATTTTGTTGACCACTGTCACCTCAGTAAGTCCAATAAAAAGGATAAAAGCAAAAAATCGCCGAAGGCCCAGGCTCCCATGGCCCGGCCAACACTCACCAATGGTGGTCTCACAGAACTTCCCAGCAGCCACCTCGTTGGCAATGTTGGCTCCCATCAGCACACTGATGTCGATGCCCATCTTCTCGCGGATGATGTCAGAAATGAGCTTCAGCCCTTCCGGGCCCTCGTCTATGCCCTAGAAGGAGGTTGGGGAGTTAGGGAGGAACACTCCGCCAAAACAGGAGAGGTCTGGGATCGCTGCTTTATAAGTTCTAGATTCAGACATCCTATGGCACGTCATCCTGAAAAATATCTCCCACAAGAGAACACATAGGTGCTGTGCATGTCCTGTTTCAAGAATAACAAGAAAAGGAAAAGAAAACGAACATGTCTGCTCACCTTGGATGCGTAGCCACCGGGTTAAGCGGCAGCACATGACGGACATAACCAAAGTCCCCTGCGCCTCTCCCCAAGTTCAGCGACCCTCCAGGGAGAGCCATTACCCTGGATTCCTTATGCGCCACTCCCTGGCTTTTCTTGATCCTTTTGCCACATGTAAGTGTCCCTAAACAATCCATTAAGTCATGATGCCTATTTCTGAAAGCCTATAAATGGAATCGTACTGTTCATATGTGACGTGCTATCTTATGCAACATTATTATTTTAGAGATTCACCCATGTGGCTTCATGAACACTCTCGTTCGTTCCTATTTACTACTGTGCAATACCCCAGAATGAACAGTCCACCATTTGCTTATGCAGTCAGCTGCTGACTGACAAGGGAGTCACGTCCCTTTGCTTTCATAAACATTCATCTACGAACACTCTAGAACTGAGTCTCCCTAGGCTACAGGGCCGTCCAACCTTTTCGTGCCTCCCGGACACATTGGAAGATGAGTTGTCTTGGGCCACACATTTAATACACAAACACTAACAAAAACTGATGAGTAAAAAAAAAAGAAGTTTTAAGTTGGGCCGCGTTCATAGTCATCTTGGGCCCCATGGGGCCCACGGGCCGCAGGTTGGACACCCCTGCATCTGGGGGGTTCTTAAGCCTTTCTACAATGTGGGCATCTCCTGGATCAGTCTTGTGAAGGGTATGATCTCATTCGCAGAATTTCATATGCATAAGGCAAAATACTTAAGATTACCTAGGAAGCCACTTATATTGAACTATAGTTACCAAAATGTTAAAAAAAACAAAACCCTCCCAATTTTTGATAAAGTAACATATGTGCTGTTTTATTAATGCAATTAGAAGATGTCATGGCAGATCTAATAATTATTGTAATTTCAAAGTAGTGATGAGCATAAATGATACTTGAGATATCTGAAGCCATTGTAAAGTGACGTGAACGTGTCTATGATTTCTATTGACAAGAGAGTGCCAGGTCCTGCGAATACTGTTATTAAACTCTGCCCTGTGGTCTTCCTTCATAAATGAAGAAAATGCTCATTTCAGTTAAAGATTAAAATTAATAAAAATGCAATCCCCCCTCCACATGGAAGACCATGAACCTCCAGAATTTTTTCTATTGATCTTTAGGACTGGTTTGTGGACTGCTGATTACAAGCTCCCTCTTTAGAGAAAACACCAGGAGTGGGAACTAATCCAGACCCCTGGCGAGTTCCAGAACGCCAGCTGAGACCTACAAACTGGTGGGGAAGGTTATTTCTGATGGCAAGGTGCACCGGATGGAGCCCCCCGCCCCCACCCCCACCCCACCGCACCTGCCATAGAACACAGTCTCCTCGTAAATTTGAGCTAAGCTAGGCTCCTGGGATGTATGGTTTTGATTACCCCAAAACCTGCCATAACCTCCCATCACTTTCTTATCTCCAACAGAGGAAAGTTCAAGAAACTAATGCCGTCAGTGGCAGGCAAGTCACCTTGATGAGCGTGATTCCCAGCGCCTGCTTGGGCACTTTCCCAGTGATTTCGTCGCAGATTCTGTGGATGAACTGGTGGGGGATGACAAACACCAGTAGGTCTGCGTCCTGCACGGCCTCGCTGAGGTTTGGGACGGCAACCTGCCATGGCGAAGCGGAGAAAATCATTACTCCTGCACCAAAACATGCTGGCACAAATGCTTTCACTCTCCGACCCTTTATCAGACGCCTACTCTGTGCAGAGAGCACTGTGCAGACAGTTAAGGAAGTGCGGGCTGTGCTCTGCCTTCCTCATTCACGACTTGCATCCAAAGCCAGGAGGGTCCTGCCTTTCCATGTCTCAGTTTCCTTACCTGTAAAAGGGAGTCATCGTAACACTGTATGGGTTGTTCTCTGGTGCCCTCCCAACCCCCCAATCTGTTTTCTGCCCTTTTCTGACACTCTCTGTTCCCCAGGGGGCTTCTTAATATGGACTGTTTCCTCTGGGCACCCTGGCTCTCTGCCTTCCAACTGGCTTCAGCCCAAGGGGGGCCCTGTCAGGGGATCCGAGGTGGGATGAGACGCAGGTGAGGGGGTTTATGAGCCTCCTGGGCCACGCCTGCCTGGGCTCGCAGGTAGGCTGGCTGGACTTCATTCTACCATTATACTTCCTGCCAGGTGGCCCCTCTTCCATAGCTCTAAGCTCTTGTCTGGGTGGTTTGGTGACGCTGGTCTGTCCCTTGGCCCTTTCAGGAGTGATCATGGCTTCCTGCCGTTGCTAATCCCTGGGCACTTCGCCAAGGCCTTTTGGTTCCTCAGCTCTGCTCCCAGCTCTGTACAAAGTCCAACAGGAAACACTCCTTGGTTAAGCGCTTTGGGAGCGCTGTCGTGAAGAATAAATGATTCCAAAAAATGTCTAGCACCCGGCATGCATCCAATACATGTCAGCCCTTACAATGACTTTTCTCCTTCAGATAAGTACAAAAATGGGTTTTAAAATTCAACACAGGCAGAGAAACACAGACACACGGGCAGAGGTCAGGGCATCGTGTGAGGGCACAGGGGCACATGGTCTCTGGCAGAGTCTGCCTGTTGTTGCCAACGTCTGCTCTACCTTCTTCCTTAGCCAGAGAACCGCAGTTTGAGGTGAGGCTCATCAATGCCAGGAAAGAAGCCTCCCCACTTTAACCAAGAGGCTTAGGTGAGACTGGTCCCTCCCCTGCTCCACAGAAGACCCTTAACTTGTTCGAGCCAATGGGCACATAGAAAGCCTTTCATTGCAGTGGGAATAGCTGGCTGCTTCCTTTATTCTTTCCATCAGACATTTGGACAACTGAACTTCCAAACTCAGAACCCAAGAGACCCTTTCTCTCCCCACTGACAGCATCAAGAATAACCATGGGCCTGAAACTAATATAAAATAATATTAAATGTCAACTGTAAGTGGACAAAGAAAAGAATAGCAATGGGGAAATGCTGCCTGGCCTTAGCTCAGTGATGCAGAGGAGAAAATCATCATTGTCTAGAAGGCAACAGATTCAGCAGGCTCAGGAATGGGTACACCAGTAATCAAATTCCAACCCTAACCTCCAGCTATGTGGCCTTGGACAAATTCATTAACCCCCTGAACCTTGGTTTCTTCCCCTTACAAAATCAGAATCAGCAGAAGAGCAAAACTAATAGTATCACCCTGATGGAAAGAAGGAAGGAAGGAAGGGAGGGAGGGAGGGAGGAAGGGAGGAAGGGAGGGAGAGAGAATCAACAAGCCAAAATGGAGTCACTTTTGCTAAGCCAGGTCACCAAACCAAAACTTAATAACTTACCTAAGAGCAGTTTCAGCCTCTCCTAAAAGTGGAATTTTTTATTTTTTTAATTAAAAAAATTTTTTTTTTGTTTTTATAAAAATGGTTATTCAGTATTTATTCTGCAATGCAAAGGTGACAAACTAAAATATAAAAAGGCTGTTATGGCTGAACATTTTTGTTGTAGATTAAATATGCAGCATCGAAAAATGGAAAGGTGTGGTGTCATCTCTGACCAGCAGAGTTAAATAGAAAAATCTCTCCATTTTCCTTCATCACCATGGGATACAATGTTCAGGCAATCTAAATTAATAAAGACTTGTACTTTCATATGGAGACAAGATCAAGTGTACCAGAGAGTGGAATTTTTTAAACCAATCACTCTGAATTCAATTTCCTGATCAACACTACTGAGGTAACCTGCCTGATAAGACCACCTGCCTTCCCCAACAGGAAGGTGACTGTGCCGGAAATACCCGACTCTTCACTTTCTTGTCCCGCTCTCTTTTCTGCCCATAAGAACCTTCCATTTTGTACAATTCCTCCGAGCACCTTTCTAGTTGCTAGATGGAATTTGTGAATAGCTTAATAAAGCGAATCAGATCTTCAAGTTTTACTTGGGTTGAATTTTGTCCTTTACCAAACCTAGGAGCATTCCTGAGAGCATGAGACAATATATGTAAACTACTTAGCAGAGTGCTTGACACTAATGAGCACTATAATGAAGAGCCAAACAAACATCTTCAGTGAGCAAGGTCTTTGTAGCTCCGAACTCCGGGCACGTATCAGTTTAGAAACTGTCTCTCCTGCTGGATTCATCTCATTCCTCCCTCTGCCTCCAGCACCCCATCACGGTGCTTTGCGTGCACAGCACCTGCTCCTGAAGCTTTGGTGAATAAATGGGTGCAGTGATGGGTATCTCATTAACAAAGGAGATGGGTCTCTGGTTAACCACAGGAGTGAAGCAGCCACAATGCTTGGTTTTCAAACAATGACAGAAAGCTACCACGGGGTGTAGCTGGCAACAGAGGTTCACAAACTCCACTCAGTCAAGCAACAGGCTACTCTTTTTGTTCCTCATGCTCATTTGTCCCTTCCCCCACTAAACCACTGGAATGAGGCCAGGTTACAACATACACTTTCCCCTCCCAGACTGATGAAGCTTGAATTGTAAACTGTCAGTCTTACAATTTTCTATTTTCCCTGATCTCCTTCCATAATTTAGACCTGGACCCTGATTTTAATTACAGACCAGAGTTAAGTGTCCTAGAGAGTGGATCAAAATCCACGTACTTAGAAAAAGCGTATCAGGTACACGATATACTTTTAACAAGGTACACAAGCAGCCAAAGGTAAAGTTTTTTAATGCAGCTTTGACGTGACCTGAACTTTGAATGCCAAGGAAGTAACCTGTTATAAGCCCAACTGTATCCTGCCAAAAATTCATACATAATCCTAGGTCCTCAGAAAAGGACTACGTTTGGAGAGGGGATCTTTATAGAGGTAATTAAGTTAAAACAAGGTCCGTAGATGGGCCCTAATACAACATGATTGGTGTCCTTAGAAGAAGAGATTATGACATGGACAAAAGAGAGGTAAGACCACACGAAGACACAGGAAGAAGGCGGCCACCTACAAGTCAAGGAGAGAGCTTCAGAAGGAACCAACCCTGCTGACCCCTTGAACTTGGACTTGAAGCCTCCAGCATTGTGACCAAATCAATTTCTGTTGTTTAAGCCATTTGGTCTATGGCAAATAGACCAAATTTGCCATAGCAAATTTGCTCTGTTATGGCAGCCCTAGCAACCTAAAACAAAGCCCATTTCAGAGTCCGGGAAACCAAAGCTGAACAAGCGAAAAACTTGAAGGGTGAAAGGAACAGGGGAAGAAGAAAGTAGCCTCTGTACTTCCTCAAGTCCCAAGTGCTAACTCAGCAGATCATAACTTTCAGAATTAACCAAATGTATAATACTCTTCATCCTAAAGTCTTACCACATTTTCTGGCAGCTTGTGTCCAGGGAGATATTTCACATTTTCATGGTCATTATTTATGATGTCTGTCAGTTTTCTCCCATTAACCGTTTCTTCAAAGACCCACATCTTGACCGTGGAGGCAAACTTCTGAAGTTTCTTGACATTATTACCAATTATTTTTGCAACAGCGGAACCCCTACAAAAGAAAGTGGCAGAGAACAAACATTAAACTCACTTGGGCAGAAGGAAAAATGCATTGGATTCTAATTCAGGTCTCGCATTCTGATTCTGATTAAAGCACTGAGTTTATAACTCAAGATGTGATGTTGTATCAACTACAAGCCATGTGAAACCTAGCTGTTTTCAACCTGGAAATACCACCCCTGTGATCAAGAAAGCCCAAGAATTGGTACAGGGTCAAAAAGCACCCCACACCCGAAACTAGTACGCACCAACCTATCTTGGAAGAAAGTACAACAGGCAGAAGAGAAATCCACTCAAAGATGGCATAAAAATAACACTTAGAGATTCTTCTCTAAGACACTCAGGCAGCATTTCAAATCTGTCGAGATTAAAATGTAGCAACTGTAAGATGCTCTTTGTCTCCTTTTTAAAAATATCTTCTTTTTTTTCAGGAGCTAGAAGACAATGTGATTGTTGGTGCTCCAGCAGCCATTCTGGGCTGTCTGGGCATCTTATGAACCGAGATCGCACATAACAAAGTAACAAGAGAAGGAGCCTGGATTACCAACACTATTGAGTAGAGCTGTCATGCCAGCTCTGGACTGCCAACCTCAAGATTTTACGAGAGTGATGAATTTCCGGCTTAGGTGTCTATTAAAAAATAATGTCGCTGCCATAGAATAAACCGTTCAGGTGAACTGCGAGAGGCCCAAGGTGCAGTCATAATGGAAAAACAAGAATCAGAAAGAATTCCAGAACAGGGCAGAGTAAAGGCCCAGGTTCTGGGTGCCTGAGTATTTGGTCCCCTGCAGCAGACATCCAGCCAGCCCCAAGCCCAACATGTTCCCTTTTTTTTTTTAAAGATTTTATTTACTTATTTTTAGACCGAGATGAAGGGAGAAAGAGAGGCAGAGAAACATCCACCAGTTGCCTCTTGCATTCCCCAACTGGGGACCTGGCCCGCAACCCAGGCATGTGCCCCGACTGGGAACTGAAGCGGTGCCCTTTCAGTGCCCTTTCAGTTCGCAGGCCGGCACTCAATCCACTGGGCCACACCTGCCGGGGCCCAGCTGCCATTTCCTGCATCTCCACACTCCAGGTATTCTGGTAATGAATCAGCCTCCTGTAGGCTTTCCAACAAGGGGAGAAAGGCACTCCTCCTAGTTAACACCAGCCCTCGGGACAAAGGCCGCAGGTCTGCTGCTAGCCACTGCAACAGAGGTGTCCACGGTTGGCCTCACAAATGTGCTGAGTACACAGTGGGCCCAGGTCCCACTGACTGGGCCCCTGATTGGTCCAGTGCCGGGCCCCTGTCCCTGCTGAGCCAATAAGCTTCCATTTCAGGACTTTGAGGGGGAGAAAGAGTTTTGTGTTGGTTTTTTTTTGTTTTGTTTTATTTTGTTCTGTTTTTTTAGATAACTTTCCTGGTGAAGAGCAAATGAAAGAACAGTGAGGAGGACTTTGCAAATTCACGTGTAGGGCAGTCACTTTTCCTAACAAGAAACTGAGATGACTTCTCAGTTGGCTCAAACAGTAGCTTAAGCCTCTACAATGAGTTGTAATATCTAGTTTTCTCACGAAAACCTTTAAAATTAAATTCAGTGCATTGACACTGGTAGATTACATGTATCAAGTGTACAATTTTATAATACACCATGTATACATTGCCTTGTGCTCACTATCCAAAGTCAAGTCTCCTTCTGCCACCATATATTTGACCCCTTTTATTCTCTTTTACCTCCCTCTACCCTCATCCCCTTTGTTAACCGCCATACTGATGTCTGTGTTTCTAAGTTTTTTGTTTGTTCATTTTTGGCTTTGCTTTACATCCTACGTGTAAGTGTAATCGTATGGTTCTTGTCCTTCTCTATCTGACTTATTTCACTTAGCATCATATTCTCAACATCCGCCCATGTTGTCACAAATGGCAGTAATTCATCTAAGAAGACATTTTTAGAGATTATAAAAACTAAAGTTTTATTCCCTGGTTTTCTCAAGAGAAAAATTTTTGAGATTAAGTAATTTATTACCATTGCTACGATGAATACATACACTTGATACTCAATTTTATGCAGAACTTTTTAAAAAGAGTTTTAATACAATATCAAAATTTACATAGGCATTTTGTCAAAAAAAGTGTTCCTTGTACTACTAGCTTCTGTAGGCTCTAATGAAGGCTTAAAAACTTGTTTTAAATGTCTTCAGACTGTAGGAATACAACAATTTAAGGATGAAAGCTTTCCCAAAATTAACAGGGTAAATAAGCAACATTTTTCTACAGAGTAAATTTTAAAACATACAACATTTTAAAAGATAGACTTAAATTGTTAACCCACTTACGATAATTACAGAGATAATTCTTTTTTTTTTGCTCTTTTTTTAAAAAAGATATTATTTATTTGTTTTTAGAGAGGGGAAGGGAGGGAGAGAGAGGGAGAGAAACAGTAATGTGTGGTTGCCTCTCATGTGCCCCCTCCTGGAGACCTGGCCTGCAACCCAGGCATGTGCCCTGACTGGGAATCGAACCGGCAACCCTTTGGTTTGCCGGCCAGTACTCAATCCACTGACCACAACAGCCAGGGCCTTCTTTGCACTTTTTAAAAAGCTTTTTATATTAAATTTATTGGGATTGCATTGGCTAATAAAATTAATAGGTTTCAAATATAGAATTCTATGATACGCGATGTGTACATTGCACTGTGTAATTACCAGCCAAAGTCAAATCTCCTTCCATCACCATTAGACCCTCCTTACCCTTTACTACCTCCCCCCACTGCCCTCCCCCTCCAGTAACCACCACACTGATGTCTGTTTCTATGAGCTTTTGTTTATTTGTCCTGTTTGTACATTTGTTGCCTTCAATTTTACATCCCGCATATGAGTGAAACCATAGGGTTCTTATTAAAGAGTTAATTCTATGGCAAATTAATTGATAAATATTTTCTGAAAACAGAGGACTAGTTTATCACCACAGAAAATTTTTTTAACAGTACAACAAAATTCCCTCTCATTCCTTCACCAATAACAATACATTGTGTATGGAGCCCATGTAGAAACAAGAGAACATCTGCAATGCAACAAATCTGAGGAACTGCGAACAAATCTGGAAACTGGGAAATACTGCGTTCTTAGCCCACAGTCTTAAATTACAGTCAATTCTCGAGAGTTCGGTGAGCTGAGGGAAGGGGCGATAACAGAAGGGTGCAGGGACTAAGCTGATGCATAGGGACATACTGGAGATTTTTATCCTTTACTTTCAAACAAATCTCAGTTATTCTAACAAAACTTTAATTCATGCCAGGATATAAACATTGGTGCTTTTAACAACCAGGAAAATCCAAATAATTATCTGTATGTTAGAATTACTTTCCCGTTCCTGAGACAGAGTGGGTTAGAATGACCCGAGTCCCAGGCCACACCCGGGACCCGCGAAACCTTTACTTCTGGAGTAGGATCGGGCGTCAGCAGTTTTGGAAGCTCCCCAGGGACTGGTGTGTAGCCAGGGACTGGAGCGGGGCTCTGCTGAATGATCTTGAACTTGGTGCCTCCTCCCTCACAAGAGAATAGCTGTCAATATCAATGCTCTGTGGCTTTACCTGTAAAATTCTTACTCTATGCCAACAGGACAGTTTATGAGCTAAACACCCATCAATCCAATTCTCCTACTGACACTTCGTAAAAAAGAGGCCAAGAATCTCCCCGCCATCACTCTCACCTTTATTCTAATCTTGGAAATGGCTACTCATGAGACAGCAGCTCAGGCTCAGTGTTCCCTGGCATTAAAATAACTCACACAAGGTCAACAAGAGCATCTTCTTGATAGGCCAAAGTTACGGGTTCGATCCCCAGTCAGGGCACATACAAGAATAAACCAATGAATGCATAAATGAGTGGAACAACACATCAGTGTTTCTCTCTCTAAAATCAACCAATCAATAAAAATGTAACTGTACCACTGGTGGCAAAGCAGGTGACAGAGTGACACTTGACAGACATCAGGGAGGTCAGGGAGAGCTGGGAGGAAGTACAGCTAGGGCTGAACTCTAAAGGCTGAAGGAGTCGGGGTGGGGAGCCTTCCAGATAAAGGGAAGGGCTCCTGGAGCAAAGGTGCGGGAACAGGAAGGGCGTGGGCTTTATCTCACGCTTTGACCCTGAGCTAATTTTGCAGTGAGAGGGAGGGGAGGGGAGAGGAGGGGACAATTGAAGGGGAGGTCAAGGGAAGGAGAGGGAGAGGGGGAATCAGGAAAGGAAGGTGAGAAAAAGGGGAGGGGAGGGCGGGCCTGCACAGGGAGGGCTGAGAGGTGCAGGGGGCGAGCGTGAGGCAAGAGGTGGGAAAGGGGCAGGGGTGGGCAGAAGCAGCACGATTTGCTGCCGATCAGGTGTCAGGCCCTGTTTGTTGCTGTTATAAGAATATAATCGGTATATAACTTTGTATAAGCTAAAGGTGTACAACACCGATTCAATACATTTGTATATGACCACTGTAGAACTGTTTTAGATACCTTACCCACGTTATTTGTTTGAAGCCTCAGCAACCCTCTGAGGCAGGTACTATTATGAGACCCATTTTTTACATAAAGAAACTGAAACCTAGTGGAAGAACAGAGTCACACCCAAGGCCAGGTCCTCAACACTCTGCTCTCCCTCCCTGGGTGCCAGCTGGACACTCACCTGCTGGAGGTCCTGACCTCCACCTTGGCAACCTCCCACCCCCACTTCCTTGGCATTCACACTCTGCCCCGACCCTTCTCACCCCTCCTCCGCTAAAAAGGCGTCATATTTTAATGCTGCATCATCCAAGGAATGGCCACCTAACATGTCAGGCCCAAACCAGACAGAATTCTGGTGGCCCATGTGCCTTGCCAAGGTGCAGATTCTTTCTGGGCCAGAAATGACCCAAGGGTCCTGTCCTCTTTTTACCAAGGAGGAAACTGAGGCCCAAAGAGAATAAGCAAGGTTCCGCCACATTTTCCCCCTTCCAGGACATCTCCCCCAGAGCTAATCCTGACTGTG